GCCTTCTTCCCTTATTTATAAGTTTTACTGACTGCCTCAATCCTAAGGGATTCTTGGCAGTGTACAAAATATAAAACATAACAAATAACGTACAATAATATAATACAATACACTCTAGTCTACAACAGCATACAGTGTAACATACCGTAATTTCCCTAAGATATTTCCCACTGAATGTAAGATTTTTTTAAAAAAATAGAATAATTGCTCTTTTAAAAAAACAACTTATTTTATAATGCAAAAACATCCTACTGGTCGATACTCTATGATAACATGGTAATTTACAGATATTCCAACTATCAGTTTCAGCAGCAGCATCATAATGTTAAATATCGCTATTTACATGTATCCGCAACCCAGTCTTATGTCTTGTCTCAAAAGAGCTTGGAGCTCAGAACCACTTAGAATCTCAGTGCACCTGAGGGTAGCAAGTTGGACTGGTAGGAATGAGGAGGAAAGCGATTTGCATCTGCTCCCTCCCTCCCTCCCTCCCTAGGTTTTAGTAGTGAAAGAGAAAACCATGTCTTAAACTGATTTAATATTCTCCCATCTGAGAGTCTGGCCAAGATCTGGAAAGACTGCCTCCTCCCCCAGCCTGTTGCCTGTTCACCCATATTACATCTTTGCTTTCGCCTTCTCAACATGTGAACTTCTGATGATGAGAAGAGCTGGGTCTTGGAATCCAGAAACAGTAATGGGGTTAGGAAAGGGAAATGTTCAGCCAGAATTCTGGTTCTGAACACAGTCAAGAAAACCTGAGGCGCTAGATCTCATATATCCCATCCCAAGAATTAGTCAGTATGTGTAACATCCTCTGTGGAGTAATAGTAGGCAAGGAATCCATTTATCCTTAAAAAAAAAAAAAGAATATTCCTGTAAGTGAAGGGTTGTTCAGTTCAAATCTGAGAGCTGAATGCGATGAAATTTCATTTTAATGTATGCTGATTAGTGTACATTTAAAGTAAAAGTTATTCTATTCTATTCTATTCTATTCTATTCTATTCTATTCTATTCTATTCTATTCTATTCTATTCTATTCATCTGATTTAAGAAAGAAGGAAAAAGAAGAGACCGTTGAAGTTGCCTATCAACTTGAGCTGGCAGCCCACTTGGGTGAATTCTTCCCTACCATGTCAAGATTATATTTATTGTTTTTTTAAAAATTCTGTCTCTAAATGAAACAAACCGAGGAAAATTAAATTCTGCCCTTTCTTGGAGTCACTTTGGAGAAGTGGTTCCCTTATAGAAATTTCCTTCACAAGAAGGAGTGCAATTCTTTGTTCCAAATGTCAGTACTATTATCTGCCCAATCCTTCCTAAGGCTCTTTTTTGTCCTTCCCCCTCTCCCACTTTTTTGTAAAGCAGAGAGTCAACTCAATTTTGCTATATATTGTTTTGAATATTGGAGGAGGGGGGAAAGAGTAGTTTAAATATTTGGCCTCTTATAGCTTAATTGTGGGTGGGTGGGTTTGATTTCACCAGTTCATTTTAAGAACAATAAACATCTCTTGCTAACAGGTCTATGCAGACTTTATGTGTACAATTTATCTTTTCTTGATGTTCATTTGTTCACTGGTAGGAGTTTGCAAGCTATTACTGTAAAAAAAATATCTGCACACTAATAGGAAGAGAGCTATGGAAATTCTGTATCCCCCCCTCCCTTGCTTATTTGAAGAAATATTAGGAAGCAGTTCCATTGGAGTGGATGACTCAGTTACAACTTCAGTGTTGGAGATAAAGATCCCAAAAAAGCCAACATCTTCCAACCCTTTTGCTTCTTTAAGTCAATCTTCTGTACTAGGACTAGGCAATAGGTTATGGAGTGTTCCCCACAATTGCTTGAGAAATAGACCATCCAGATGTCAAAGTATGTTAGGCCTCCACTTATATGGCTGGAAAAGCAGAGTGAGGTCACACTTGCAAGAGACCAAGTGCATCTCATTGTTATTCAGCTGACTCATTTAGCTTTCATTATGTAGAGCTGTTCCAGAACAGGCAGGATATCAGTAGCTACCAGTAAACAGTACTGTTTGGCTCTGGTCCAAATGTCCACCCACTGTCCTTTTCCCAAGAATTTCAATACAGGTAGTCCTCAACTTACAACAGTTCATTTAGTGACCATTCAAAGTTACAACAGCACTAAAAAAATGATTTACGATTGTTTCTCATACTTAAGGCACCAGGCTAGAAACCAGGAGACAGAGAATTCTAGTTCCATCTTAGCCATGAAAGCCAGCTGTGTGATCTTGGGTCAGTCATTCTCTTTCGGCCCAATCCACCTCACAGGGTTGTTGTTGTGGGGAAAATAGGAGGAGGAAGGTGTGCTGGATATGTTCACCACACTGAGTTATTTGTAAAAATAATAAAAGTGATAGGTAGGTAGGTAGGTAGGCAGACAGACAGGCAGACAGACAGAGCTCTGTCCCCACAAAACCAAAGTTCTTCTGAGCATTTCTGGGTGCACTGGAGAGAAAAATGGGATCCAACACATGCCTGGTTAGTTTGGTGTTAGCCCACATTCTTCTCCCCTCCTTCAGGAGAACCCAGGCTGCCTACTTGGCTGGCTGACCTTTATGCAGCAGGCAATCCCAGCAGTAGCTAAAAGCAGGGACTGGTCTGCAGAATTGGTTGGCCTCCAGCTGGATGGATATCGTCTTGGGATAATATTGGGGGGAAAACCCAGACAAGCGAATAAAGAGACTCAAGTAGGTCAAAGGAGGCTTGTGGCTAATTGTTGCTGGTGCTTCCCCCCACCCCCACCCCTACCCCACCCACTCCACTCCAATCATGAAGAAAACATACTTTTGAAAAAAAGAAAGAAAAATGCTACCATCTGTCCCTCCCCAGTCTTTAATGCCCCCCCCCTTTCAGCTCCCACCAGATGCCTAAGTTCCCAGTTCCCAGTTCCCAGCTCACCCTCTGGCTCCACTCCAGAAATAAATCAAGGTGTCTCTTAAACTCATTTATGTTCTTTTGCTTTGGAGCATCTTCAGCGCAGTCACTTTGCCAAAGCCCTCTAGGCAGAATCCTCGGTAGACATTAGCAGAGAGCACTTCATCTTACCGACTACACATATCTGATTTGTTTCTTGGGGGTGGGGGTGGGGGAAGGAGAACCCCGAAGATGAAGAAGAGGCAGGAACAGGAGAGACTTATGCACTGGGGGGGTGAGGGGGGAAATTGGTTCAGTGCTGAAGTGAAAAGGGCCTGAGTCAGAATAATGAATTGGGGACATTATCCTCGCTCTACCACACCGCTCAGAACTTTCCCAGACCTGCATGGGTGACACTGACCTTTAAAATGTCTGGAAAGATGCACAGTGAAGCATACTATAAGGAAAGATAGCCAGGCAGTGGGGGGAGGTGGCAGGAGACTTCACAATGATTTGTTCCCTGTTTCATTACATTTGCACATCAGATGAGGACTGTAGCTCTGATGTTGAGGAGACAACAAGATCTTTGATCTGCTCAGCCAGCCAGCCGGGCAGGCTGGCTGTCACATATAAACTGCAAAGGCAAAATGGCAACACTGTTGTTCAGCATTGGTGCCACCAACATTTAAAGGAATGGCTAGAAGGGAGTCTATGAGCCATGTTCTGCATTGATTGCTCACTGCTAACTCTCATTGGGACCAGTAATTGAAAGGGAAAGTCACATGGGTGTTCAAGGGGGTGAGGGAGACAAATCATAAAATGACAATGACACAATTGCAGTGACCGACATTCTTATGAGTATATAATGGTGACATTTGCAAGGTGATATCACTGCTCATGTAGCATCATTTTGGCAGCATTGTTGTTGGTCATAGAAATATACCCCAAAGGTGCTTTTTCAAAAGGCAACTGGACTTTGTTTTTCCTTGAATATGTTTCACTTCTCATCCAAGAAGCTTTTTCTTGGATGAGAAGAACAACAACAACAACAAAAAAAAACATCTTGGATGATAAAAACAAAAAAAATCTTCAAAGAAAAATAAAGTCCAGTTGCCTTTTGAAAAGCACCTTTGGACAACCATGACCTAGATGACTGAGAATCTCCATAGGCTTCTAGAAATATAATGGCTGTTTCCACTATCCTTGTACCTTCTCTTCCTTTATTGCAATTAAAATTCTTAAGAATTTTTTTTTCAGTAAGCTATTCCCAAGTGGCTTCCAAACTACAAAGTGTAACAGACTTCCATAGCCTAGGTATCCTTTAGATATATGAACTTCAGCTTCCAGAATTCTTACCACAGACATCATGATAGCTGGGAATTCTAGGGGTTGAAGTCAACATACTTAGAGAATGCCCAAGTTGGCACATGCTGCTACATAGGATCACCAAAAACTAACTCTAGTAAGGAAACCTGAGTTTCTTAGAGGCTGGGATTACAAACTGAAGTAACAATTGGTTCAAGTAGAATATTCCTGCTGATCAGATAGCATGGCCTTCATTCTACCAATAGGTTCTGCAGTCTAGACTAGTTCAAAAGAATAGGCAAAAAAAACCCAACAACCCTATGATTGAGACACCTTGCATATTTCTCATTTATTCTGATAAGGCTTACACTGTAATGTAGTGTTTCTCAACCTTGACAACTTTAAGATATGTGGACCAACTCCCGGAATTTCTGATCCTTAACCACTGGATGAAACTGACTCTGGATGATCTTGATGATTGTAAACATCTGTTGGCATCAAGTGGGTCACAACTGATGAAGGAAAGATGACCAATGTTTCCATAAAGGTGGTCTTCACCATCACTAAATATTAAGAACCAAATTCAGTTTTCCAACCTCTTGCATCTATGTTGCAGCAATTGATATATGCAAACCCACTTCCACTCAAAACAGAGAGCCTGGGAGAATTCTCAGCCCTTATTGCTTCAGAAAGTAGTCTGACTTCCGATACTTGGAGAAGCATTGTTTAAATCTTGAGAAGTTTCCACTTCCTCAAGAGTTTGGCTTTGTCTATTCAGGATGATGAAGCCCATCAGTGTAGCTCTAGTCCCACCCTATACCTACCTCGGTAGCAGTTTTTGAGAGGGGAAAATCCATCCATGGTGCTGGGCTCCATTGGCAGGTCTGTGCAAAATGAATGGTGGGCCGTGACTAGTAGGTCAACCTGACATGTAGTTCAGAGCTATCTGCAAAGTTTCCTTCTCCGTGACTTCCTTTCCTCATTCAGCTTTTGGAACACCTGTAATTTAGAACAGCACACTTAGGCAGGAGGCTCAGAAATTGGGGGTGAAGGAAACAGCTTGATATGTCTTGTAATGAGGTGCAGCTTGCAAGCCTTGCTCCAAGGGACACCAAATTAAACAGCCCTGTAGTACAACTGGACAGGCTATTTCTATAATCATAGAGCTGCAACAAACTGCCTTTGCCACAGGCTTTTATTTGAGATGCTAATAACAGGCTGTGGTTTTGAGGAACCGGAGCTCTCACTAGACAAGGCAGAGTCTTGTCGAATTATTGACTTTGTAGTGTATATCATTCCCCATTGCAGCAAGGTAAGGCAGCTCTCGCTAGCATTTTTGGAATACGTTAAGAAACTGTGCAGGGCACCGATGGAATGTTTCTGTTTTATCTTATTAGACTTACCCAATGTCACGTTGCTATTCAACCTAGCTAACGCTGTGCTGTTCAGGAAAAAGTCTTACATTAACGACTTTTGTCACAAAAGTCATTAACATAATAGGACTTCCACATCAAAATTGAATATTAATGCTACACCAGGCTGAGGTAGTAAGAGGGATAATTGCTCTAATACATTTTCCAGTCGGATTTTCCCGTCGTGGTAGCAATTGCATTAGCAAACCCGATTATTAACACATCTGATACAATGGTAGTGGCTAATAGGCGTTAAGTCGGTTCTTTTTTTCTTCTTCTGACCCCCATTTGGGGCCACAACCCTTGTTCCAGAACTCAGATCACAGAGGCTGCCAAACTCAGCTTGCACGTATCGGCAAGAAACGCTTAAAAAGGACAGTGAACAACACTGAGATAAGGAAAGGGTTAGGGCTGTATGCAAGAGAAGACCCAGCAGAAGAGGACTTATTCCTCACTGTGCGAGGGCACCACTTGGAGACCTGGAAAAATTGCTCTGGCTGACTGGAAAACTCAGCCATGAGGATCATCTTCATAGCAATGGAAAGTTTTGACGGGCCAAATGCAGCATTAAGTTATAAACACTAACAGTGTATCTAGGTACAGTCTGGCTGCTTGATTCAATGGGAATGAAGCAGCCTCTCGCAGGGTAAAGATGCTGTCAGTAAAGATGCTGTCATTGCCACAGTTGCTTCGAGCACATTCATTTTAGCATATTAGTGGGCCAATTCTAAATCAGGATGTGAGACCCTCTAAGTTCAGCAAAAGGCACTTTCAAGTATGTAAGGCTATGAATGTGCTTAGGATTCATAGCCTCACAATTTACCCCAGGGGTAGTTAACCTTGGCTCTTTTATGACTCGTGGACTTCAACTCCCAGAATTCCTGAGCCAGCCATGGGAGTTCAAGTCCACGAGTCATAAAAGAGCCAAGGTTGACTACCTCCTAACTCTTGTCTGGCCCCTAGGTAAGGATATATCAGGTTGCCTTTAGGTAAGGCATTGCTCAGTTTGTCCTGTCCTTTCTCCTTAAAATATCCTTAGATTTTTATCTGTTCCTACTTTAACAAATAAGGAATTGAAGCAGTGCGGAAATGACTTGCCTAATTCCAGCTAATTAATATGTTTAAGAGATTTGCAGAATTCCAATATTATGACAAGGCTGAGATGATTGAAAGCAAATATGAAGGGAGAACACCAGCTGGATAGTGCAGGGTGTGGGAAGAGGATAGCAAGGCGGTGGGGGAGAAATTATTAAGGGCACACAGTAGTCCTGCCTTCAGTAATTATGTCTGCAAAAGTTCCAACTTTCCTTCAGAAAATCAGATTCTTCGTCAGAGATCAGAATAACAGGGACATATATCTAAGTGAGAAGAATAAATGCAACCTTGAAAGATTAAAAGCTTGCCTCCAGAAATGCTGTGTTTCACAATGAAGAAGGGGCATTTCTATCTAATGTAGGCATAAAAGTGCCAGTCCCAAAACTCACCGGAGGTTTGTTCATCTTTGTGAGCCTTACGCTTGCCACTGCTAGAAAGATTCTGAAAGTACACATTTTGACAACCTTCCAACCTGTTGAACAGCAAGGGTTCAACAAGACAAGGAAATAGGAAAAGGGTACCAGCTTAATTCACAAACAGGGTGATTACTGCCTAGAGGGCAGCTTGGTTCTGATCACTGGCATGACTTCCCCAGTGTCACCTACTGTATTTTGCAACTTGAATATGCTGTACAAATTTAGCCTTTTTAAGTGTATTGTCTTCACTTAATGCTTGGATGCTTCTTTTACAATTTGGGTTTTGAAATACAGGAACGAGACAAAGGGCACGATCATGTTTTCAGACTTTGCCTGTTACTGCTGGTGTCCTTCCCAAGGCAGGAACACCACTTTCTTGTCCTTCCTATTGTCAAATAGGATTTCCACCATCCCTTTTCCAGCTTTACCAGACTCTTTCTCCCCTTGCCCTTTCACTCACAGGCAATCTTCCTATCCATTTATCTTTCTAGCAAGAATCACCTGCAGGAGTTCACTTAAAAAAGAGAAAAGAAACGTGCAAATAAAAGAATTATCAATAAAAATAAGTTGTCAGCAGTGTTCTGCACCATATGAGAAACTAGGAAGGAAAAAGAAAAATATTCTAAAGTTAATGAACCTTAGTGTGTTGCATAAAGATTTTAATTTGGCAACAGGCTATGTGTAAAATAAAGCTATTCATCAGGTGGCTTTATACTGGACTGAAGCCTCAGCTCAGCCCTGGAGGGATATGCTGGGACCACACTCTAGAAATCAGTGGAAATGCCGGAGATGAAATGACATTTGATTTGTCTATGGAGATTCTCAGGACATGGTTGTCTCAAAGGTGTTTTTCAAAAGACAATTGGACTTTCTTTGTTTTTCCTTGAAGTTGGTAGACAGTAGATTGAACAACCCTCTCTCAACAGAGGGGGAAGGATCTGACACCACCTATCTACAGTACAGTCCTTTCAGCAGTTCCAAGAAGGTTCCACTTCCATGTGCACTATTCAGGTAACCCCGAGGGCACAGATACACTTCCATGTGGCCTGAATGCCTCTCAGAGAGAATGCTAACAATCAGATGACTGCAAGGAATATAAATCCTTCCATTCTCCACCATTCAATCAGAACTGAAGAAGCTTCTTGGATGAGAAGCGAACCATCTTCAAGGTACAACAAACAAAGTCCGGTTGCCTTTTGAAAAAGCACCTTTGGAACATTTGATTTCATTTCATTTATATATTTCAATAAGTTAAATATTGTTAAGGAGATTGCTCTCCAATCAGATGTTGATTATTTTTCCTTCTGCCACATTAAAATCACAGTGGAATAACAAGTTAGGAAGGTGGAAAAGGCTACCTTGTTAGATCACTCATTCTGAACCTAATACGAATGCACAGATCAGTTTTCATTTTGCTCAGTGTTGGGTTCATTGTTGTTTTAATTTCTGTTTATTTTAAAGTAAGAAAATTTTACATTTTGAGTCTATATTGGCCTAGAATTAATTGACATGCACATTTGTGTAATAAATAAGTAAAATAAGGTTTGGGAAGTCTTTGGAAGCTGGACTTGAGGTTTTTGGAAAAAAAGAAGGCAGTCCAGAGGCCACAAGTTATATCTACCCAACACTAAGTTTCTCTGTCCACTTTCACATATTTAATATTACAATAAGCTGAGATGAAGATAGAATTTGCCAATAAATATCTACAATGAAAATTAAAGCATTTTTTTTAAAAAAAAAATTCAGAGCCCACAAGAATACAATTGTAAAATGCAGCAGTAGAAAAACAGCACAATTGTAAATGAGCCCCAATGGCAGGCATGTTTTGTAGAGGATGGATTAAAAGCCTGAGGAACTGTGCAGGTTTTTCTGTACGGGCATCAAGAGAGGTGCCCAGTGAAGCTTGCTGCAGATCTTTATTGGCCATCCACCAAAGGCAGGGTTGGCCTACTCCTGTAACTCTTCTGTACAACTTACATGGGGAGGATTCTCTCAAAAGGACTGGTTTTCTCACCCTTTGATGGAAATGCAAAGCAACAAGGGGAAGATTCCCTACATGCCATGGCAGATCAGAAAATGCCTCTCGTGGAAGGAGGAGTTTACTGCAGCAACTCTCAAATGAGAGCTGCTTAGAACGAAGCATCTTTTCTTATGCACCCTACCTCTGATTTTCATTCAGCCATTGCTTTGCGCTATTGAAATCAATCAATGAATCCATTGATTTATAAACCGTCAATCTTATGTAATTCAACCTCATGTGATTTACAAGCAATAATACAATAATAAATGCATGAAAACCACGACCAACAAAAATCCTGGCACCCCAAATACACCACCAACCCACATGTGTATAACAAGCTAGAGTTTGGAGTTGATGTAGATGAAGATGTGGGATTAACACAGAAGGCTTGATCTATGCTGGCAGAGATATTATAAGTGGAGGGTCCAGCTGCTCTGTCAGCATAGATCAAGCCTTCTGTGTTAATCCCACTGTTTGTATGTAATATGTAGAAATAAAGTTGGGACGCAGAAGATCCAATTTAGGCTTAGGATTGTCAATGAAGCCTTTATGTTCTAGCACAGGGGTCTTCAAACTTGGCCCTTTTATGATTTGTGGACTTCTCTCAGCCAGTATGTCTGGCTGAGGAATTCTGGGAGTTGAAGTCCACAAATCATAAAAGGGCCAAATTTGAAGACCCCTGCTCTAGCACTTCACCCACAAGTCAAAAGAATATGATCCTACCAGAAGTAGGTTCAGAGGAACTCAATTATATAATGGAATAAAGGTGTGGGGAGAAGTAAATTTCACTCTTATTTGTAAATTTTTGCATGATTTGTAGTAGTTGGGCCATTTTCAGCTGAAAATAAACACAATACAATAACCTTCACATCCAAATTAGACTGCTGAAACAGACTTTATGGTAACTAGAGAGGCACATTTACGAGGTAAGCTCAGTTCAGTACTGGTGGTAAAATAAATCTCAAGGCTCTGAATACGCTCAAAGCTATGCTTGCTTAATCTAATTTATTTCTATTTCTCCTGACTGATTGATAAACCTTAGTATTCGTTAAGCACAATATAGTCAGTGTAACAAACCTGAAACCTGTCCAGCTCTAACATTAAGACAGAACCTAGGAGTAGTGATTTTAACTTGAAACCAAAAGTATATTTTAAGTAAACCATATCTTTATTTTTCAGAAAAAAAGCAATTTAGAAATATTTTACCAATAGCATTTCTACAAAACATATTTTGTTGGTTGCTACCAGTATTTGGATCATTATTTCAAGTCTAGTAATCTTTTCAGTTGAACAAGGATTTGAACTTTTTTTTAGAGAGATAGCCAGCTTAGCCCTTTGCAACCAAACAACGAAGAATTTAGTCATACCTTAAAATTAAAAAACTCATTATCACATACATTTTTATGGACTACACATCATCAGATGCAAGAAGCATATTTAAAATTAGTTCTCACTAATCTATGAAGCACATTCTTATCTAGCATTCCTACTCAGTGCCCTCCAGGTAAGGCTGGACTACTATTTCCAACATTCCCAGTTGATATGGTCTCTGGGAACCCAACACATCTGAACAGCACGCAATAGGAAAATTTGCATTTAATCTGCCTTGGATCTGTAAATGACTCCCAGCAATGAGGAAAGAAAAGGACAATGTTCTACTACCTTCCAATATTCTATCGAAGTTTTCAAATTTCTAGTTCCTTTACTGATGTTGGGAAATTCCTAGCCAGCTAAGGGGCAAGGATCAAGCAGGGAATTAGCCTTGAGTTGTTGCGCGGCCACAAGAAACTGATCCCTCCCCCAAGCTCCATGGAACCTTGTTTGTTTGTCCCCAAGGAAAGGTGAGCAGTCTGGGGAGATTCTTGTAGTATAGGTACAATACAATAAAGTAGTCAACTGGAGCCTTTCACTTATGGATCTTATTGCTTGCGCCTGACAACTCTCATCTCATACCACCTGTAGATTTTGGGGGAAAGTAGGGAATTGTTATAAACTCTTAAATCCATCTTCTTAGAAACTTAGTATCTAAAGAAAAACTGTCCAGACAAGAAATTCAAATAAATGATTCAGCGTTTTTTTCCCCTTTTCTTGGGAAGTTCATATATTAATCTTAAGCGCTATCTGGATTAATTCAGGTCACATCTAAATGGAAATAAGGTGATTTCAATGCTGTTTAACTCATTGTGCTTAGCAGAACATGAATTTGATTTAGCTTCAGCTGAGATTAAACAGTGGCACTTGTGTAACATTTTCAGGCTCCAGAAAACATTATGCATACTAGCCACAGTCCAACTGGATTGGTAAACAGCTCAGCCAAAATGGCCATAAAGAGCT